TTATGTGCGGAGTTCTCGTTCGTGTGTGTGTGTGGGAGAGAGAGAATGCAGAGAAAAGGAAGAGGCTTGCGATCAGCTTCAACTGCGAAAGATCTCATGACCCACATGTATGCTTTCACTCACACATTATGGGTTTGTGAAGGAAAATGAGGGAAAACGGGTGTGGTCTCATTAACATGAAGCATACTATGAGAAGGAAAAGTTTATATGAAGCCCAAGTAGGATTCTATTTCAAAACCAATTGGTAGGAGGAGGAGTAACACATTAGACTTATAAGTTGAGTTTATTTTTCATGTATGAACGATGTGGGACAACTCACAAGTGATATTCTAACACGTCTCCTCACTTGTGAGTCCTTAATAAGAAAGCTCAAACTCATATACCGAGCTGAGTGCCCCAAGCCTACTAGAAACAGACTCCAATAAGCGGGTACGTGGGAAAAAATGAGTACGTCATCGCACGGTCCCAATAGAACCGACTCTGATACCATGAAAGAAACTGAGAAAAAATGGGTACGGAACCCACTAACACAAAGCGCACCATAAGCGAGAAAAACCCATATAAGGGTGCGGTCTCACTAACATTTAACCATCATATTAATTTCATTTTATGTGTATTTTATCAATTAAATTATTGTCATGACATATATATTAGAATGTTTAAGTTTAGTTTGACGTGATCCTAGTTACTAGCACGTCACCTTTGCAATACACCGAATATCATAAATAAAATGGCTTTTTGAACCATGTGGCCAGAAATATAGATTACTATATGGACTAAATGACATGGCAGCTTAAGGCCGAGCTCTTTGGAGTTACAGTGTTGTTCATTTGGTGTGACGACTTAAGTCCAAGCTTTTTGGAGTTCGGGTACTGTTCATCGGGTGTAATGACCTTCGTCCGAGGTCTTTGGAGCTCCGGTGCTGTTCAACGTGGTATGTCAGCTTAATTCAGAGTTCTTTGGAGTTCGGGAGCTGTTCTTTGGAATTTGGGGGTGTAATCTTAAGTAATAATTTATAGTGCCTTTTTTGTTGAAATAGAAAAGCCAGATTCCAATATTCATATACCACGTTAAGCATCCCTACCCTTTGCTTCAATTTCATGAATTCGGACTATCTGATCGCACAATGGAATCAATTTGAACCAAAAGAAGAAAAGGAATGTATTGTTTTTTTTTTTTTTTTTTTTTT